AATAAGTAAATATGAAATGAAATAATGAAAGCATAAACTAGAATAGGAATTCAAAAATACAAATCATATCTATGCTTTCAGCTTTGCAAATGTATGGTATAAACAAAACATATCATGTATGATAAATGATTCGATTCTAGTATCTCCACCATAATTTATCCTCGTGGAAAGAAATGGTTAGATGATTAAAACAAATAAACGTGCTAATCAAAAGGCATATAGTGCTATGGTGAAGGACTGTGACAAAAAGGGTAACGATTAGGATAAAATACAATAGATGTCACACGTTATAAAGCGCTACTGTTAGTGAGAAGGGTAAAGAGGGGGAAGCAAATAAAGTACGGCGGGATTAGTAAAAGGAAAGGGTTAAAGGCACAGGGTGTGGATGGGAGGGAGGACTGCGAAAGAGCTATTATGAAACGATGAATAAGAGTAGAAATGGATGTTGGAGAAGCAGGAGGAGAGGAATCCGTGGAATGAGATAAGGGAACAGGGAAGGTGGTGGAGTATGAGGAAGAATGTCAGGGGGAGAAGGATCCGGATAAGGAGCCCGCTGTGACATAAGGGAGCGTCACGTGAGCATCCAGGGGGGAGCGGCAAAGGAAATGGGGAAAGTAGAGGGAATTGGGCACATGGAGGAGGGAATGAAGAGGGAATGGCGCACACGTAGAAGGGAACGAGAGGGTGTGCTGGGTGGGAGTGGGAGGGGAATAGGGGTAGGGGGAACCTGAGGAGGAAAATGGATATCGGCGATTCCTCTGGACGTAGAGGGAATAGGAATAGAGATTGGAGCGTGGACGAGAAAGCGGAGCGTTCTCTTGGATCATGTTTAGATTGGGATGTCTTCAAGAGTTTCTGGAGGGGAATTGCGCGGGGTAGTCTGAGAAAAGAAGTTTTTTATGAGGAGAAGAGGGAACAAGTGTCCGAGACGCAGAGGAAGAGGTGGGTGCAGGGGAGGATGTGGTAGGACGTTTAGATTGCCTGGTGCGACAGGTAAAGCGAGGAGGAGGGCAGGAAGGCATCGGGGAAGTAGTAGAGATTGGAGTCTGGATTCAGACTGGAAAAGGAATTAGATTGCGGGAGAGAAGGTGTAGAGGTAGGATGACCAGGGATAGAGGGCCGAGATGCAGAGACATCTTGAAAAGATGGGAGGTGAGAATAGTGAAGGCCAGGTTTGGGATAGACAGAAAAAGAAAAACCTCGTCGGTGTGCTCCCTGCCGCCACAGATTCGAGCTTGTAGTCAGGGCAGCCCCTATAAAATACATTACTGGATTCACCGCAATTGCTACACGTATGTGACTGTGCAAAGCAATTTGAACAACCACGACCAGACACATGAGAGCAGGGGGTTGTGGAGTGACAGCGCATGGCAGGGTGGCCCAAACGCCATCATTTCTGACTCTGACGGGGAAGGGGTCGATATGTTCCAACAGGGCAAGACTCTCCACCAATATGAACTTCATAGGGGGAGTCATGTCTACGGATGGTAATCTTTGCATTATTGATGTGGGACTTACGGCGGCCTCTAAGAGAGATAGTGTAGCACTGTATTGCCACTGCACGACAGTCGAGGCAGGCAGGTCGTTTTCACAGTCTGACCAATCCTTTTCGTAAGCAGGGCAATCAGCTGGTGAGATGGAAACTGTTCCGGTATAAGTATTAAGAGAGGGGTGAGGTTCGGCAGGAAGGAGTTTGCCAGTGAGGTCAGTCAGGGTAGATACAGCACGAGATTGGGATTCAGATGTAACTGTAAGACGGCATGAACGATCGGAACGACCGAAAAAGAAAATTTTGCCTACTTGTTTTTGGAAACATTTTTGGAAGAGATGGGTATTATCAGAGTAATGGGTTGCGGGAGAGATCACAGAGAATCGATCCCACTTGGCTGGGCTAAAAAGAGTAATCAAAAGGTTTGCAGAGGTCGAGTAGTAATAAGGGAGGAGGGGACAGACAATGAAGAAAACTGTGTAGGAAGAGATAGAGTGGAGGATGTTGGGAGAGAGGAAGGGATGTATTCTGAAGGCTGAGAAATGACCTGGGAGAATAATTCAGAATGGATAGAGTTGACAGCAAACATCAAGGAGGTATTAGCATCAGTGGTCTGAGCCGTGATCATTCAGACGGCTCTGCCAGAGCTTAGCCACAAAGAAGTCAATTAGTAGACCATCTGGTTAATGGCTGAAACAAATAAATGTGCTAGACGTCTAAGGACATATAGCACCATGGTAAAATATTGTGGTGAAAAGGATAAATGTTAATGATTAGTATTAAGAGTATTAAATGTCAAAGATTATCGTGTTATAGAATAGTGTGATAGGGAAAAGAGTAAAGAGGGTGCAAATGATGTAAATCGAAAATAATTGAAGGAAAGGGTTAAGGGTATAGAGCAATTGGATGGAATGGGGTGTATCTGTTGTTGGGAAAGCTATAGTAACATTGCTTTAAGGAAAAAACTGATGAACTAATCAACGTGTAATACGAGATGGCTGTTGGAGAAGTAGCAGGAGAAGAGTTTGGGGGATGAGATAGGGGGACTGGGGAAGGAGGTGAAGTATCGGGAAGAGTGTCAGGAGGAGAGGACACTGTTGCGACAGAAAGGATTCACGTGAGCATCCAGGTGGGAGAGGTAATGGCATTGGAGAACGAAAAGGGAACGGTGTACATGGAGGAGAGGATGGGGTGTGTTGGGAAAAAGTAGGAAGAGGAGGGGCAGGGGGAACTTGTGGAGGAGGATGGATATCGGCATACTTTGAATGTAGAGGGACTAGAATAGAGGAATTGAAGGGTGGATGAGGGAGTGGAACATTTTTGGGTTATGTCTAGGAATTTTTGGATGTCTTCAAGAGTGTCTGGAGGGGATTTGGGTAGGGAAGTCTGAGAAATAGAGCATGTCTTGTGAAGAGGAGAAGGGGATAGACGTTCGAGGAGCAGAGGGAAAAGGTGTAGGAGGCAAAGATGCAGTAGAACGTTTAGGCTGTCTGGTGCGACGCGTAAAGTGAAGAGAGGAAGGGTAGGCATCGGAGAAGTGGTAGAGATTAGAGTATCTGGATAAAGGCTGGAAAATGGATTTGACTGGGGGATAGGGTGAGTAGAGGCAGGATGGTTCAGAGTAGAGGGAAGAGATACTGGGGGAGATGCAGAAACATCTTGCAGAGATGAGGGGGGAGGGGGGTTGCAGAGCGAAGGACTTTTGGAATAGGTAGAAAGAGAAACACAGTCGTCATGCTTCCTGTCTAGCCTCACATAGAGTGAGGCCTAGTTTGAACCTGAGAACAACTACTTCACATTCGAGCTTAAGGCAGGGCAACTCCTCTAAAATACATTATGGGAGTCACCACAGTTGGAACATGTACGTGACTGAGCAGGGCAATTTGAACGGTCATGGCCTGGTTGGGTACATAGAGGTCAGCGGGTTGTGGAGCGAGTGTTTGGCTGGGTGGCCAAAATGCCAACATTTTTGACATGACGAGGAAGGGGTTGATATGGTCAGACATTGTAGGACAATCCACCAATATAAACCTCATGGGGGAAATCATGCCTACAGAATCTAATCTTGGCAATATTGACATGGGACTTATGCTGGCCTCTGGGAGGAACAGTGTAGTACTTTGCTACTACTGCATCATAATCAACAAGGCAGGTAAATGGGTCATTTTTACAATCTGACCAATTCTTGTTATATATGGGACAATCAGTCGGGGATAAAAACAGCTCCAGTGCAAGTATTAAGAGAGAGGTGAAGTTCGGCAGGAATGGGTTTGCCAGTAAGGTCAGTTAGGGTAGATAGTGCATGAACTTGGTAATCTGATGTAACGATCAGAGTGCCTGCAAAAGGTAATTTTGCCTACTTGTTTTTGGAGGCACTGTTGAAAGAGAAGGGTATTCTCACAATAGGGAGCTGTGGGGGGAATCTAAAAGTATCGATCCCACTTGGCTGGGCTAAAGAGAGTACTCAAAAGGTTTGCAGAGGTAGAAGCAGTAGTAGGACAAAGGCGGGAGGAAGAATGAATGGAATTGCCAGTAAACGGCTAAGACGGGGTATTAGCATCAGTGGTCGGGGCCAAGGTCAAAGGAGGGGCAAAGGTAGGAAAACCATCAAAATCAAATTCAGACAGGCTATTTCATGAAAGGGCAAGCCTTAATGCCCCTATTAAGGGTAAAGAATCTTCATTATTGGCCATGGTGAACCTGAATAAAATCAGGAAAAGAAATGGTCTACCCCTCAGGGTCCCCATAAGGGGTAAGGGCTGGGCAATTAATCAAGGGAATACCGTGCCCATGGCTCCCAGAGGCCGTTCATGACTGACATAAATCCAGCCTTTCGTCCTTCAGTACGGCTCTCACACCTTAGGAATGGGACAGAAGGAGATGAAGATACGGAAGAGAGAGGGAGAAGAAAAGGCCAAGCAAAATTAGTTGAGACAAGGGCTGAAGTCCAAGGTAAGGGCAATCCCTAAATTGGGCTCCAATCTCCTAAGCCCTCCCACGACATTGAGCAAGGTATAGGGAGGGAGTAGACCATACGACAACTGATTTCACCTTTCTTTGAGTTTGCGGGAAAAACGCCTTTCTTACTAATGCTATCAATAATGATACTGTTATTTTTATAATAAACATCAAAATTACTATATTGTCATTGAAATTACTCACAACAATATCAATTACCAGAAAATACTATTAAATATCAAGGAAAAGGGTAAACGGGTGAAACAGGTAGTTCTCACAATTGGCTCACTGGTGACAAAATACTTATGGAGCTATTTATGTATAAAAGCAATAGCTGCATTAAACACATAGTGGGCATGGCATGTACACATACCATCCCCGGTGGCATGTGGTTAAAATAAGACTTCTATAAGTAACTGTATTATGACAATATTGTATTTAGATTACTAAATTACATGTATTTGCAAGAATACATATACAAATTTTACATATTCAGTTAATGTGGATTACTCATTCTGTCTCACTTTTGGTGGAAGGATTAAAGCAAATTACATAAATTATCATACTTTAATAAAATTTATCAAAATAAAATTCATTCTATGATTAATACTGAAGACAGATAAACAGAAGCCAAAGCATTTAAAGGAAGAAAAAAACAGTAAAGAGCTAACTCCCAGTTCCTGTATACACAGTCTTGTCAAAACTCACAGTCCACTGATAAACCACAAGCATTAAAGAAACGAGTACAGAAGCATACTACAAATATATATAAAGATTCTATTAAAAATGTTCTAGGAAAACACTTATTCTAGATATTTTGTATTACTTTCTGCAAAAGATAAGCTGATACTGTGCGTAGTGGTGGGTTATATTACTATGTATTTGCATTTTTATTCAAAGAACAGGTCCATCAAAAATTATATACATATATCATAATGTACCTTCATTAAATGTATGCAGTGATCTCTCAATAAGACAGCAGAGATTATCAAATGCATAAAATAATTTCCATGTACTACAATTGTTGGCTAAGATGTCTGCTATTGTCTGTTGTCCTAAAACAGTCTATAGGCAGAAAATATTTGCAAAAGAAACTTTGTTGCTTTTTATTATGACTGAGTCCTTGAGTTGTGCTTTGTTCTGGGTGTGAACTATCCCTATGTAAAAGAAAAAAAAATCAGTATTTGATTGCTCTTACAAAAAGAAATTATAGACAAATAATGAAACAACATTCACACTATAAACCGTCATGAAAACTCATAAAGCAGCAACCACAGGAACAACCTCATACACTGCCCACCACATACTCTGCAAATTAACCCACTACTGCAAGGAATGCCATGTATGGAAATGGCATGCCCAACGCAAATTCAGTTTACCAATTATATTTACAGATGGCTCCACAAGAGCTTTTTCACCTAGGATTCAATTACTAGCACTGTTTCCTTTTTTCCTTGATTTTTGGAAATATGCTCTTATCTTATATTGCTATTAGTAGTGTTCATAACATTATAATAATCATAATATCGACTGATTCCTTGGTGGTTTCGCACTTGTGGAACAATCTATGTGTAAATGCATTTAACCAAACATTCCTGGCAGTAATGGGTTAAATCAAATTGTACTCTTTCAAATATTTCCAGGTACAGTAGAATGCCCTCCTTTGGTCTAAAAGGCCTAATCTTCACTTGTACAAATAAAACTTAAAAATATTGGAATAAAGAAGAAAACTAATCATAAAAATAATACTCTGAGATTAGAAGAGATGGAGGTATCTGGATACCTATTTGTTTGAGGACTCACTAAAATTTACATTATTAACAAAAAAATGGCAGTTGAAAAGCAATTTACATATAAATATATTTAAGGAAGTCTCTAATCCATATATAGAGCCCTCATTATATGAAATATTAATATGCAGTTAATTAGAAAAATATTAGAATATCAACACTAACACAGCCCCAAAGAGAATTATCGTCGCCTCAACCAGGCTATGAAAATATTATATAAAAAAAGAAACCCATACTTCAAGGCATGTTTATTTATATATTCATTCATAATAAGAAGAATCTATCAATTTTCTTGCAGTCAATCCCTACAGAATTTTAAGGGAGTGATTGATAGATCTGCCAACTGAAAAATAAACAAATGCATAAATTGCAAGTCCAATTGCATAAAAAAAAACAGAAAAAAGTCAACAAAATTAAGAAGATTAACCAAGAAAAATCCAAACTATAATAATAATAATAATAATAATAATAGTAATAATAACAAAAGAAAATTCACAGAGAAAAAGGCAAAGAAAAAAGTATATTAATCAGACTCTGAGTCCGATTCCGCTATCATTCTTGCCCTTGATGCCTTGATAGGAGAGTTAAACTGCGGCGACTGCGATCTCTGACTGGCATACAGGCTGTGTGCGTTGCGCCTGCCTCGACCTATGCGGGGAGAAAATGACAGTGGGTCATTATTAACACACCAGTAAGTGAAGAGAGTAGTAAGGATTAAAAGTGAGGGGATCACACACACACACACACACACATGTATATATATATATATATATATATATATATATATATATATATATATATATATATATATATATATATATATATGTATATGTATATGTATATATATATATATATATATATATATATATATATATATATATATATATATATATATATATATATCTAGAGCTAATCTAAGTCATTCTTTTCTCCAAAGGTATGTATTTTTTTTCTTTCTTTCTTTTTTTCCTTTCTTTTCTTTTTTTTGAACAATATCTGAACAGTTCATACATTAGTTTTCTACATATTCAAGTTTAATCAATTCTGAGCATGTTCCAAGATAAACCCTGCCATGCCATCCATCTTATGAAAAGATGAAAAAATTGGGAAAGAAGAATAAGAACAATCATTCACTTATTCACTACTAACCTGAATCAGCGATGATGTTACCGAGGTCCAGTTCCTCCACCTCTTTCTTTCTTTCAATCTTCTTGCGAAGTTTCTTGCACTTCTCAAGGGTTGGAGTACCTAAAATCAGTAACACATTTTTGTCAGTGTGGGCTATGGGACAGGCACTTTTTGGTTATTTTTTGTTTGATATCATCTTTCTATGATGTAATAGTGTTCATTTTCCCCCCCAGATTTTTTCCCCCCTAAAGCACAATCACAGATATCATACCTCATCACAATTCAATTAAACCACAAAATCAATTTAATATAGTTATTAGGCCATGTCCATTTGTCGCATATGAGCCAAACAAAATATTGTTTGAGAGCATTTTTATCATACTGAATTCTTGTAAGCATGTCTCATCTTGAATACTGTGAAAGGTGTACAAAGGATAGCTAAGTGCACAAACATTACACTGCAGTCATCTAAGAAATAACACACACAAAAGTTATTTAACTCTTTGACCCTGTATGATAGGCAACTTAAGTCACAATTCTTTACTACTATTCCATGTCAGGCAATTGATCTATATGCCTTCCATCTATTCTGTCCAGATGCTGTCATCTTAATGTCATTTTTTTTTTGGAATGTAATGTTTTAAGGAATATTACTTTTACCAAATATGAAAACAGACACTGATGAGTGTTATAACTGACATGTATGTACTCATCATGCGCCTTCTTGCACAATAAAATAAAAAATTATTGTGAATGATAATCTGGTTTTCAGGTATCTTCATGTTTTTGAAATTCTTTAAAGTAAAATGTGGGTAATCATAGCTGCTCTGGATGCAAAAGCAGACATACACAAAAATTGATTATTTTTGTACATTGTATTATCTTATAAATAAAGCTAAATTTTTCAAATGAAATTGCCTTTGTATACTTTTTAGTCCAACATGGAATTTTTTTTTTTATCAAGTAGCATTTTCATTTTTTATTTTGCATTCATTGGAATGGATATGGAATCCTTGGCTTCTGTCACAGTTAAATAATACTTAAAGATAACCAAACAAGGATGATACTAACCTTTAAGACCCTGTTCTTCCATCACTCCAAGGAGTTTTGCCTTTTTGGCCGAAATACTCTTGCAGCCTTCTAGAAGTTTGTCATAGTTCTTGATGTGGATGCCACAGGTGCGGATGTACTTTTTGAGGCGGGCTAGCTTGTCCTCACCCTGGATGAATGAATTCAATGTTGATGAGTAAGCTGGTTTGACTAAGTGTAATGTAAGAGAGCCATGGAAATTTTCTCATTGTCATCTTTATTTCCCTTTTTTTGTATGAAAGCAGAGGGACGTTGAATATGAACAAATGAGAGAACTTATGGGACATAAACATGAATACCATATAAACAAAACCACAAACTCACCTTTGATTGCTTTGGTGACTTTTTACTAGCTTCCTTCTTGGCTGGCTTCACCTCCTTCTTCTCTTTTGATGATTCCTCATTCTCACTATCTGAGTTGAGTGATGTATCTGAGCTATCACTATCTGCCTTGTCTGTTTTTGAAGACTTCTTTGACACCTGTTTTCCTTTCTCTCCTGTTCCTTCTTTCTTCTTCTTGGCTAGAGGTTCATCACTGTCTGAATCACTCATTTGTGCAGGTTTAGGTGACTTTTTCTCTGCTACTTTTGTCTTTTGTTTAGCAGTAGTTTTCTTGGCTAGTGGCTTTTCATCATCAGAACTGCTGCTGCCATCTGAGTTTTCCGAGCTGTCATCAGCTGCCTTTTTGGCTTTGGGCTTTCTCCCTCTCTTGGGTGTCTTCTTACTCTCCTTCTCAGGCTCTGACTCAGAGTCTGAGTCTTTTTTCTTGCCTTTTGCTGTCTTGGGCTTTCTCCCTCTCTTGGGTGTCTTCTTACTCTCCTTCTCTGGCTCCGACTCTGAGTCAGAGTTGCTGCTAGATTCTATCTTCTTTGCATCTGCATCACTTCCATCAGAATCCTCAGAGTCTTCCTTTTTCTGTTTTAAGGGGCTACTCTTCTTCACCTTCGCATTTGTCTCTGCATCTGAGTCACTGCCTGATTGGTCATCCTTCGTCTGTTTCCCTTTCTTCTTACTCAGTGGCTCCTCGTCTGATTCACTTGGTGTTTCTGTCTTCTTTCTCTTAGGACTTGGGCCTTTCTTCTTACTCAACAGTTCCTCTTCATCTGAGCTACTTGGCTTGTTTCTTTTCTTTCCTTCCCTGTCTTGCTCTTCCTTGTTGTCAGAACCTCCAGACTTCTCATCCTCTGCACCCTCTCTCTTTGCAGTCTTCTTCTTCTGCAGTGGTTCACTGTCTGAATCACTCTCACTCTTGGCTTTTTCTGCTTTTTTCGATTTTGGAGTTGGCTTCTTTTTCTGCAATGGCTCATCATCAGAGTCACTGTCGCTACCTGCTTTTTTCGATTTTGGAGTTGGCTTCTTTTTCTGCAATGGCTCATCATCAGAGTCACTGTCGCTACCTGCTTTTTTCGATTTTGGAGTCGGCTTCTTTTTCACTAAGGGCTCATCATCAGAGTCACTGTCACTGGCTGCTTTTTTCGATTTTGGAGTCGGCTTCTTTTTCTGCAATGGCTCATCATCAGAGTCACTGTCGCTACCTGCTTTTTTCGATTTTGGAGTCGGCTTCTTTTTCTGCAATGGCTCATCATCAGAGTCACTGTCGCTACCTGCTTTTTTCGATTTTGGAGTCGGCTTCTTTTTCACTAAGGGCTCATCATCAGAGTCACTGTCACTGGCTGCTTTTTTCGATTTTGGAGTCGGCTTCTTTTTCTGCAATGGCTCATCATCAGAGTCACTGTCGCTACCTGCTTTTTTCGATTTTGGAGTTGGCTTCTTTTTCACTAAGGTCTCATCATCAGAGTCACTGTCACTGGCTGCTTTTTTCGATTTTGGAGTCGGCTTCTTTTTCGGGCTCATCATCAGAGTCACTGTCACTGGGCTTTTTCGATTTTGGAGTCGGCTTCTTTTTCTGCAATGGCTCATCATCAGAGTCACTGTCGCTACCTGCTTTTTTCGATTTTGGAGTCGGCTTCTTTTTCTGCAATGGCTCATCATCAGAGTCACTGTCACTGGCTGCTTTTTTCGATTTTGGAGTCGGCTTCTTTTTCACTAAGGGCTCATCATCAGAGTCATTATCATCACTCTCTGGATCTTTAGCCTTTTGACTGACCTTTCTGGCTTTTTTCTTTGTAACAAGTGGCTCATCATCAGAGTCACTGCAACTCACAGCTTTTTTTGCCTTCTTCCCTGGCTTAACTGCTTTTCCTTTGCCCTTCTTAGGAGCTGCTTCAACATCATCATCAGAATCTGAATCACTGTTCCTAGATTTCTTCTTGGCCAACTTTGTGTTTTTGGCTGCCACCTTGCTCTTTGGCTTGGGTTTTGTTTTTTTGCTTCCCTTCTTGGCTTCAGGCTCATATTCTGACTCACTTGATGAGCCTTCTGAGCTAGACTCCCGCAAGGAGGCTTTGCTAGACTTCCTTGGCCTCCCTCTGCTCTTCGCAAGAGGTTTATCATCTTCAGAATCACCAGAATCATCACTTGTCCCAGCCTTGTTCTTTTTGGCATTCTTGCCTTTTGCTGATGACTGTACAGACTTTTTCCTTTTCAACACTGTATCTTCCTCTTCACTGGAGTCCTCAGATAAAATCTTGGAACTCTTTGCTGGTTCTGTTTTGGGCTCGGAAAGATCCTGTCCTGAGTCCTCATTAGGTTCCTTCTTCTGTCCTTTTGTCTTGGGGGCTTTCATTGCCAGGGGCTCATCAGAGTCTGAATCCTCATTTGATTTGGTTCCCTCCTTGGAGTCTGACTTAGTACTGGCTTTCTTCTGTGCCCCGTTCTCCTCCCCAGACTCTTCCTCTGAGCTATCCAACCTGCTCAGGCCAGAGTCATCATCTTCTGACTCTTTGTTGAGGATGTTCTTGATGTCATCCTCTGTCACTGAGGGTTTCTTCCTCTGCATCACATTTACCTCCTTCACTGCCTCCCCACCTTCCTCCTCATTCTTATGCCTCTTCCTGGGTGTCTCCTCATTCCCTGGGGACAGAGCTCGCTTCCTGTCCACGATCCCATTTGCCACTTCTTTCGTTTCCATGGCCGAGTTGTTCTCTTTGTCTTCTGTGACTCCTTTTGGCTGTGGCTCCTCTTCCTTTTTCTGGATGGGCTTGCGACTCAGCTTGTTCACTGGGATCTGGCAAGATAGGAAAATTGAAAGATTGTGTTTTTGAATATTTAATTCACAGATATATATATATATATATTATATATATATATATATATATATATATATATATATATATATATTATATATATATATATATATATAATAAATAATATATATATAATATTAATATATATATATATATATTATATATATATATATATAATATATATATATATATATTATATATATATAATATATATATATAATATAAATATATATATATATAATATATATATATATATATAATATATTATATATATATAATATATATATATATATGTATGTATAATATATGTATATATGTATGTATGTATGTATGTATGTATGTATGTATGTATGTATGTATGTATGTATGTATGTATGTATGTATGTATGTATGTATGTATGTATGTATGTATGTATGTATGTATGTATGATGCAGAGAGTAGAGAGAGAGAGAACTGAAGATAAGGAAGCATAAAAAAAAAAAAAACTTAAGTCCACCCAGAAAATGGAAGGAAAGAAAGAAGGAAGCCTAAGCCGCAGAGACGGGCTTGGAGCAGAAGTGTAAAGAATGGAAGCAACGAGGGCAGAGGCAGGTACAACTGGAGAATAATAATGTGCAGAAAATGTAATACCAGGCAATACATGGCAAATATCTAAAGGAAAGCTTTATAATGATAGACACAGGAATGAAAGGAAGGAAAAAAGCACATTAAACTAAAAGCCATATCACATAATAAAAGCAAAACTTGGGAGAATATACAGAAAATTTTTGACTAAAAACAACTACACAAACCATAAAGCAATGAAAATTATAACTACACAAACTGTATTACTAATGCCATTTGCGCAGACACCAACTTATTGCTTACAGTAAATCAGAATGAGAAACTTACTGGCTAAAGGTACGTACTTGCAGCAGAGGCGAATTGCCTGTGATAAATGAACGGACAGGCTTTCCTATCTTGGGGGTGCTTGGCTTAGGCTTCTGTATTCTGGACAGCTGTTTGTCCTCACTTGTGGTCACAGCAGTAGCCTTGGTCTCCTCTGTGTTCATCTGTGTAAATTAGTTTTTGTATCAAGGATTGAGAGAACTATACTTATTTTATGTCAATGAAGATTAACCACAAAAATAGAAGAGATACTTTGTTTGAATGTTTCCAATAAATGAAAAATATTCAACTATTAAAATAATTGTAGGAAGAACACAGGGTTAAGAATAAGCTTTTATAAAATGGTAAAAGTAGATGAATGATAAAAATAACAATAATAGTAGTAATAATGATGATGATGATGATGATAGTAATAATAGTAATAATAGTAATAATAGTAATAATAGTAATAATAGTAATAATTGTAATAATAGTAATAATAATAATAGCAGTAATAGTAATAATAACAGCAGTAGTGGTAACAGTAATAATGATAACAATAATAATAATAATGGTAATAGTATTAATAATAATATTACCATTATCATTACTACTGCAATTTTGACTACTACTAATACCAATTACTATAATAATAATAATAATAATAATAATAATAATAATAATAATAATAATAAAAGCAAAAGAGAGAACTAAAAAAGAAAATGAAAAAGTGGGAGAAGAAGACAAAGAAAGAAAATGAAGTAAAAACAAAAAGTAAAGAAAGGAAAGGAAGAAAAGAAAAAAGAAAGAAAGACAATGGAAGGGAAGAAGAAGAAGAAGAAGAAGAAGAAAAAAAAAAAAAAAGGAGAGAAAATCACAGTAAAATAGGAGTGACTAATCTTATATAATAAGTAAATGAAATGAAAACTTAACACTAACAAACAATAACGGAATCTAGTCCAATACAAACTTCACAAATAGTCCTACACAGATTTTGGTAGAGCTGAATATTTCCCGTTTTTAGAAGGCACTTTGCAGTGAACCGGTTTCACTTATTGCCAACGGGTGTAACACTCCATAAATGGCCATATGTAAGTGCCACATGCAGTCAGCTGCCCTCAAGAAAAATTAGAAGCACAGAGAGGATAAAATTTCACCAGTCTCTACGATTTTGGCAGTAGCATATATGATTCTTGAAGATGCAAGGTTTCAAAGGTAATATTACGTTTACTTTTGAGACTCAAACTCCTCAATAAGTGCAGTAATGGCTTAAAAAAAGAAAGAAAACAAAGCATATCAGTTTAACACACCCAACAGCATCTGCTCGAAGCACGTTGTATGGGTGTATTGACATGAAAAAAGAATCATGTCATGCCCTTTGTCAGGAATGGGTTAATTACGATGCATTTCCTGGAAGGTTGACAAGCTTATCCTTGACAGAATATGCATAGCAGAGGTTTGTCGGCCGTTTTTCCATCCCAAAGGGCACTGAGCCTGAAGAAGGTCTTAATGAATTCATACTACCCAAATATTGATTTATTTGAATGACTGAAATTACCTTTCTAACGAAGATCCTGAAATCTTACTCACTTACTCACTTACTTAATACTCACTCTTTACTTCTACATCTGGTTCCTTACTTTTTGGCTGCCTAATTAACATGATGAGGTCATTAAGATAATTTGGCACTCGTGACACCTTCCCACATCAAGAAAGGTCACTATCAGGAGTGAGGAATACTTAAACTCACGAAATCACAACCAAATATCTGTTATTCATCTTTTTTCTCGGATTTAACCAAATGTAGGATTTTAATTTCCCTCTGGAAAAATGCATCGCTTCATTCGCCTTATTACAACCTCCAGGAACCAAAGGACACTTAGTCATCCCATTAAAACACGCCAGACCAAACCCCTGCATCCCAATAAACACAATTACCCCTTCAAACAACTCAAAATCCGGCCCAAAAACGAGAAAATAAAGCTCAAACTCACAAAATGTTGATAATCATCAGTTCGAATCTTTGTACGAATTTCACTCACTTCGCTTCCTGGCAGCTTCTCCTCTCCTTATTTCCTCCTCTTCTCGCCCACTCTCCTCCTTGAACTTGGCCTTTCTCTCTCTTAAAAGCGATCCCTGAGTTT